AATTTTTTTTTTTTTTTTTTTTTTTTGGACTATGTTTTCGATGATTCTAAAGAGAATTTCATTTGTAATTGGAAAATCTAAAATTATTTTTTTTCTCCTAAAAAGTAAATATTCACAATGAGGGAATAGAAGTGCACATTTTATAATTTAGAAATGGTGGGAAGAAAATTAAAAAAAAAAAATCTAATTAAGTATTTCACTTTTTTCAAATAAAACAATGACTTCATTATTAGAAGGCATGCCCAATAATCCTTTGGGGCTAGTATATCCTTTCAGTTCTGGTCTGGGGAAGGCCGATTAAAGAAAGGACTCCTATAATTTGGGTGTAAAGTTCAGTTACTTTAATATGATAATAATAAATTTATGACTTTATTATTATATATTTAATATGATAAAATAATTGTTATGATTTTAATATTACATAGTATGCACATTGCGCGTGTATCCATATTAATATATAAAAATATAAAAAAAATCATGAATAATATATAAATTTAATTATGTTTCGTTCAAAATATATTCGATTTTAATTAAGTAATATTTCAATTCTCTAGTATAAATAGTATTAGGGTTCATTTTTTAAGAAAAACAAATAAGGAAAAGTAACGTGGAAAACTCCTTAAAATTAGGATTGGGCAAAAGTACCATGAATTAAATTATATGATTACGTATCAAATAAGGATTGAATCTATAATAAAATTATTATTGATTTTATGTCTTACATACGGTAAGATTTTTTACCTAGTTCAAGTAAGAAAATATTTTATAACCTAAATTTTAGTTGATTCAAAATACTAAATGTTAGGAATATACTTTAAATTACAGTTTTATCCAATGTGAAATCTATTTTTAAAGGATAAAAAAGGCGAACGACATTTCGCTAAGTGGCCTTCATGCTTTTAATATAGTACTATCTTAAAGTACGCGTGTTGTGCGTGTACCCATCTCGATGAGTATAACTTTTTAAAAATCACATAAAATTTATATGAGAAATTTATTTGAGTTACAAAATAAAAGTTAAAGAGAAAATACAAGTTTTCAAAAATGATATTATTGATCCTATTTAACTAACTTAATAAAGATAAAAACTTTGTCATAGTAGTTCTCATTCATCTCTCTCAGTCTATTCAACTTGAAATTTATTTCAGTTTTACGATTTATTAACATTATAAATAAAATAATTCATTTGTATATTATAAAAATTTAATAGCTTTGTTTTATCTATACTGTTACAACAAATAAATACTATTTGTATATAGTATATTATACTATTAGTTTTATAAATAAATTAATCGTAAATTTAAATCATCTAATTTTGGATTGTCAGATTTGAACAAATTAATTAACGGAATGCCATCGCTCAAAATAAATAGCCAATTCACAACGCTCACTGATGCTGGTAGACTTGAGTAAGTACTATATTAACAAATTAACTACTTTCTAATACCATCTTATGCAACTATTGCTTGAATCATCCATTAATTAATTAATTCCAAAGTTATCTCCACATAATAAACGTGTACCATAGTACTTCATTGGAGTTGAACTCACCTCACATATCTTGACAAAAAATAAAAGAGGAAATAGAAAAAGTTCTTTTAAGGGTAATTAGTTTAAATTATACCCATTTTTAAGACATTTATTTAAAGGATAGCCGAAGATTATAAAGTTCTTGAAATTTAATCGTCTCGTAATCTATCTTCAAATTTTAGTCAAATTTTCGGTCTGAAGTTGTGGTTTTAGTTGTTAATATTTCAAACCTTCGAATATGAAGTTAGGTTACGATAGTATAAAACTTCAGACTCGAAGGCCTGAAAAAGAAGAATAGTAAAAAGCAAATGCAGTTTGAAATGTGCCAAAATTGACTAATGTTTAAATAATTATTAAGAATTAAATTTGTTTTAAATAAGGAGAAAATCTCACTTTATATCTATTAATTCTAAATTATTTACCCTTTAATGCCAGGCCCAAACTATTTACTAGTCCTACCCATGGGGCTCAAACTATTTACCCGGTTATTTTATTCCTCACACCAACTTTTCCTCAATTTTATTATTATTATTCCTCACACTAGTATTCTTCAAGTTGTTTTTGTCTTCAATACTTGCAGCTCTACGTTCTTTCTTTGTCGACCCATTTCTATCAGTCATCGCGTCCAATATTGCCTCCAAATACCCATTTAACCATTCATTCTCCGCCATCTCTTTCCTTTCCTTTCCCGTTTTCGTTGATTGTTTGCTTCAAATTATATATATATATGCAAGAACTTGAAAAGAGGTATTAATGCTTAAAAAACAACAAGTGTTAAATATATAGACCAATTGAGTTGTGGAGTTAAAAGCTTGGAAATGAGATGCGCTCTATAAAGAGCAAGAGGGGGAAGAATATAATAGAGGTGGTTTCAGGGACTTAGTTGTTTTGAAGCTTTTGAATTTAAAATTTTTATTTTTGAAGATTTCTTGTTTGATTCAAAGTGGGTGCTGTTAAATATTGCTTATAATACCTTCTGGAAGTTAATACTGAAATTTGATAGCATTTGGAGCTGATTTGAGGTGATTGAGATCAAAATTTTCAGCTCAAAATCGAAGAAGAACACAGCTACCCAATAGTATACTGCTACAGTATACAATATGTTGTAGGAGTATATAGCTATACTGCAACAGTATACTATAGGAGTATATAGTTATACTGCAACAATATACTATATATAACATATTGTTATAGTATACTGTAATAATATGCAATATACTGTAACAGTATGCTGTAATAGTATACAATATACTATAATAGTATACTTATTACCCGTAAATTCACTTGCCTTTTCCCTTTTAATTTGCTTTAAGCTTTTACCCAGCGTGANAGATTTTACCAAGCGTGAGGAGAAAATTGAAAATGCAAAAATAAAATAAAATATTATAGTATGCTATATAATTTAACGGTATACTCTTACAATTAGATCCTTTTAAAAAAATTTGAAATTTTTATTGACAACTGATATTATTTCAGTTTAATAATTGAATTAAATTTTTTTTAACTCTTTGCATACAATTGTATACCCTGTTGGTATAGCTATATAATATACTGGTATAATATGTTAGTTAATATTTTTTGGTTGTATTAGCTACATTTAATTGGTACACAATTTGATTTTTCTTTAGTAATAATATAAAAATAGTGAAAACAGAAATTAGATTATGAAAAGAAAAAAAAATATAAAAAAAAAGAAGTTAAATGAAATTAGAAAAGGAAAAAAGAAAAAAATAAGAAGAAAACGAGAGAAAAGAAAAGGAGAAAAGAAAAAAAAAAGCATAGAAATAAAAAAGAATTGGAGAATAAAGAAAAAATTCCCCACAAAAACTACTATGGGTAGGAAATGTAATTAGTTTATGGGTAGAAAAACAAATGAATAGACAAGGATAAATAGTTTTATTTTTGTGGGTAACTGTGTCAAAACCCCTTAAATAAGAGTGCTAAATGCGGCTACTTGGTGCCATTCTCATACAAACAGAAAAGCCCATATAGCTGTAGAGAAGCCCATATAAAGTGGGCCTAAGTAGCACCATGGTCTGTTAGTTACTTCTAGAGAAAACTATATACAACTCGTTTGGATTAGCTAATTGTAAATAGCTGATAAGTTTAAAGTGCTGAAAAGCATTTTTAAGTGTTGAAATTGATTTTTTAAATAAGCATTTACGTGTTTGGATAGATGTGCTGAAAGTGAAAATAAGTAGTTGATGTGTTTGGTAGAAAAGTGCTAATAAGTTGTTCTTTTATTAAATGACTAAAATATCCTTAAAAACTTTACAAAGATTATAAATTAAAAAGTTTCTTTGTAAAGAAAAAGATGAACAATGAATATGGAACGAAAAAAGAGTTAGAAAATTTATATTGGATATAAAATTTTGTGAATTAGAAGAATATTATTAAGGATAAACTAGTAAAAGCATCGATCAAACTAAAAGTGCTTAAAAGCTAAAAAGCTATAAGTTGGGGATGACCAGTTTATGACTTATGGATGATTTAGCTTATGAGCACTTTGGGGGTTACCAAACGCGTAGATAAGCCAAAAGATGCTTATAAGTAGGGGTGTTCATGGTTCGATTTGGATCGGTTTTCTAATAAAAGAAACCAAACCAAGCAAGTCGGTTTTTCAAATATTAGAACCAAACCAAACCAATTAAATCGGTTTTTTCAGTTATTTGTCGATTTTTCTTAAATATAAGACATACACTACCAAACACATATTCTGGCGATCACATTTTCAACGTAACACTATCAAATCAATTGCCATTTGAGAAATCTATTATTTACCAAGATATATTGATGATAATTGAATCAAATAGTGATGAATAATTTAAGGACTCAATTAAAAATATATTATTTTTAACACAAAATGGATTCTTACACTTAACAAAAGAAAACTACCATTCAAACTAGAATGTAAAAGTAAAGAACTATACTAAAAGTGCAAACTATTTAACATTTGCCATTAATTTTTTGAAACTTTGTATAAAAATATACATATATATAGGTGTAATAATAAATTTAAAATAGCTACCCTTATTGTCGGTTTGGTTCAATTTTTTTCGATTTTTTCTTATTAAAACCAAACCCAAACCAAATTTGATCGATTTTTAAAATTCAAAACCTAAAAACCTAACCAAACCAAAAAGTTTCGGGTTTTTTGGTCGTTTTCGGGTTGGTTCGATTTTTCGGGTTTTTATGAACACCCCTACTTATAAGCCAGTTTGACCAGCTTATAAGCTTAGCCAAACACCTTATAGTATTGCCGTTCCTAAAAATAATAATTGGCAAATATATATATATATATATATATATATATATATATATATATATATAAAACTTTGTGATCTTAGTTGTATTTTTTTATCAAATAAATATGAGTCACTACCGAACATAACTGTTTTTCTGAACTTAAC